CCGGGGAGGGCGAGGCAGCGTAGGAGGCGCCTCCCTGGCCCCGCTCCCGACTTGCCCGGGGACTCTGGGCACGTCCCTTCCCCTCCTCGGGGCCTGGCTCCTCATTTGTCAGAGGAGAGACCTTGGTCGCGATGCCTCTAAGACCTTTGCGGCACCGCCACTCGGGGTTGTGGGTGGGCCCGGGGTCTGTGCTCTGATCGCGCCGGGTCCGACTGCCCCGCAGGCTCTCTCACCTGTCACCCTGGCCCTTCTCTGCTTGGACGGCGTCTTCCTCTCCTCCGCCGAGAATGACTTTGTGCACCGCATCCAGGAGGAGCTGGACCGCTTTCTGCTGCAGAAACAGCTGTCAAAGTAAGCTGGAGTGCGGGGGGGTGGGGGGCAGCTGCCTGTGCGGGAAGGGCGGGCTCACGCGGAGCCCCCTGTGGCCCCTTCCCAAGTAGCTGGTTCCTACCTGCCTCTGATCTTGGCCTTTGGGTTTAATAACCTCCTAGCCACAGCCTCTCTCAGCCACATCTTCCCTGTGTAATTCTGAGCACCACCCAGAGATCGAAGGGTGTCAGCACAGGAGTGGAATGGTACCAGTAACTCCCTGTGATAACCTCTGTGCTCACGTCCTTTGCAGTCGGCGAGGGAGCCTAGTGTCAAGCCTCCTGTAAACTGGGCATGGACCTGGTGGGGGTCAGGCCCTAGGTCCCTGCTCAGCACTCATTCCCATCCCTTCCCAGGGTACTTCTTTTCCCCCCGCTCTCCAGTCGCCTCCGATACCTGATCCACAGGACAGCAGAGAATTTCGATCTTCTGAGCAGCTTCTCTGTTGGGGAGGGCTGGAAGAGAAGGACAGTTATCTGTCACTTGGATATCAGGTGTGTATCTTAGTGCCATGGGGGTCCTCAGTAGCTCCTTGTGGGTTGGTGGGTAAGCTGGTCAGGAACCAGGACAGGCTGCTTCCTCTGTCCCCACCTCAGCTGCTTAAAGTCAATGCCGCCTTCTGTTTTAGCAGTGGAGTAGCTGTGCGTTGTTTGGGGGATTCATTCAGCAAATTTAACTATACACTTGGGCCGAAAGAGAGAAAAATAGAGCAGTTTAAGCAGTGAGAGTGCTTGCTCTGAGAGGCCATGGACTGTGAGAAGCACACTTGAGGCTCACGCATCTCTGTTACCATGTGCATCTCACAGGATCTTACCATAGCGGCTCTGATCCTAGTGCTTCAAGTTATGTATTTTTCTTTTTTCTTTTTTTTTTTTATTAGAGAGAGAGAGGGGGGCAGTGAGAGAGGGAGAGAGAGAATCCTAAGCAGGCTCTATGCTCAGCACAGAGCCCGATGTGGGGCTTGATCCCACAACCCTGAGATCGTGACCCCGAGTTCATGACCTGAGCAGAAATCGAGAGTTGGACGCTTAACCAACTGAGCCACCTAGACACCCCCAAAGTTGTATATTTTTCTTTTTTTTTTTGTATATTTTTCTAATAACCAGGTTCCTAAATGCAAGTACTTACTTTTATCTAGTGTGTACCCGAAGATTCAGGTATCTCTATGTAGTTGATAACACCAGAGGGAGAGCTGGTGTTTCTTCTTCAAAGTTGGCATTCAGCTTCCTCTGCAGTGCCTTCCACAGAGTGTGTGGTCTTTCCAGGGGTCATTTTGGCTTTGGTTTTGGCCTAATGCTGACTCGAGAGCCTCATGCCTGAATGGCAGGTAGCTCCAGTAAACCATTGTCCTTAACACTGCTCTGATCACACCTCCTGTTCCTGCTCCAGGTTACCCAGTTCAGATGGACTCTCTGGCCCCTGCCACCCTCCTGCCTCCCAGCTTAGCAAGTACCGAGGTCCCCGGCCCACCTCAAACCAGGGAGCACCTGCTGGTCCTCGAGGAGCATGGGCCGGCCGGTGGCATCGCGGACGCAAACCGGATCAGGCTTTGTATGTGCCCCGAGTACTGCGCAGGCAAGAAGAAGGGGTACCATCCTCTACCCCAGCGCCCCAGGGAGACCCTCCAGCTGGTGGGCTCCTGGAAGAGCCTGGAAATGTTGGTGCTGGGGACCTCAGCTCTGATCAGGACCTCCCTGTGTTGATGACTCAGGCACCTGAGGACCCAGAGGGCCCAGACCAACACTGTGACAATGAGCAGCTACTGGACCCACCTGGTGTTGAGTCCCCACGGCCTGAGAGCCACTCAGGGATGGGAGATGGGTTGGAGATGGCCACAAGGCTGGGGTGCAGCCTGCGGCTGGACTTGGAAGAGGGGAATGGGAATGAGGTGGAGAAGAGCCCGGAGGCAGAGGCGGAAGAGGCAGAGGTGGAAGAGGCAGAGGCGGAAGAGGAGGGGCCTGGCTCCGGCTCTGGGGACGATTACAGTGAGCTGCTGCAGGAGGTGATGAGGCTCTTAAGCCCAGAAAAGGGAGGGCGGAAGTGGGGTGGGTGTGGTCGCGGGCCGGTGGAGACCAAGGGTCCTGGCCAGGAGGGGCAGGGTGTGCGCTGGCTGAGCAGGGCTGGGTGTTGGCTGATAGGGGTCCTTTAGGAGACGTAGGGGTGGAGCACTGGGACTTTCCTCAAGAAGTCAGGACTGACATAGTGGAGGGGACGAGGCTCTGGATATGGGGTCAGGGTGTGGATTTGGGTCCCTGTGCAATCATGTAGGAGCTTGTTGACAAGCTTCTCTATGGGCACGTCCTTTTGTTTTTCTAAATCTCCCATTTCCTCATCTGAGAAGCAGATAGTAATACTTTGCTTCACAAGGTAACAGGTAGGATATACGAGGAAATGCTTCGTAAGGGACTATAAGCCTGGGTCATGAGAATGGTTCTGCCTGAGGCCTTGTGTTCCAAATCTCCTTTCCTTGGAACGGTGTGTCTGTCCCTGAGACTGGCTGTGGTGTTCGGTTGGGAGGGTGGGCGTCTTTTATTACTATGTTATATGTGAAGGCTAAAGACCAGGTAGACTTGCTTAATGTCACATTGATGATAAGGGGAGGAAAGATCCTGGACTTGCCCAGTTCTGTCTCTTACTTGCTGACCATGTATCTTTGGGCAGAATTACTTAGCTCTTTGATATATAGTACTCCTATCTGTAAAGGGGGTGTATAGAGTATAGTTTTCAGGATTCTGTGGAACATAATGCATGTAAATGCCAGTTCCCCAATGGGGACTCCATAAAAGTAAGTTACCGTCCCTAAAAGTCCCACCTCTCCACCTTCTAGCCCATTCTGCCCTCCTCCTGCCATTCCCGGACTCCCGCCAGGCGTGGCTCCTGTGGGAAGCGGGAAGCCACTTGGGGTGCTCTGCTCCCTGCCGGGGAGTCCTGCTTCTCTCTTCAGGACTCTGTGTGTGGTTTTGAGAGCAGGTGTCCGAGCTCCCCTTGCTAAAGGGTGTGGTCTCTCCCAGATAACAGACAACCTGACTGAGAAGGAGATTCAGGTAGAGAAGATCCATGTGGACACGTCCTCCTTCGTGGAAGGGCTGCCTGGAGAGAAGGATTTTGCCCATGTGGTGGAGATCTATGACTTTGAGCCGACACTCAAGACTGAGGATCTGCTGGCCGCATTTTCCGAGTTCCAGTGAGTGCTCTCGAGGCTTCAGGGAGGCAGGGGAGGTGGGCGCTAGGACATCACTTTGTTGTTGGGCACACTTACCTGCCGCTCCCCCAGTGTCTACTGTCTGGAAGGAAGGGCAGAAAGTGGATGTGGTTGCTCTGCGCTCCATGCTCCTGCTGGCCATGACTCCACGGTGGGCCCTAGATCTGGTCCTGCGGGCATGCGGCGGTAGACCTCCATCCTGCCCGCTGCACACCCACACGCCTGCCAGGAGCCGGGCCCCCCATCGGGATGCCTCCCCTTGCTCCACGTCCCGGCCACCCAGTCCGTCAGTCAGTCTACAGACTGAGGGCCATTCCCGTGCAAGAACTGTTTCTGGGGTGAGCTGGGCCTAAATGCCCTGGGGCAGAGTCAGGGTGGAGATGGGCACCAAGGGGGTATGTAGGAAGCAGAGAGTTCTGTTTCCCCAAATTTCTTGATCTAACTCCAATCTTTTCTCCTTTTTTTCCTTCCTCCCTCTCCCTTCCTTCCTTCTTCCCTCCCTCCCTTTCTTTTTTTAATGCTCATTTTCCTTTCTCCAGTCTCCTTTCTCTTTTCTGTGTAGTCTTTTATTTATTTATTTTTTAAAGATTCTGTTTTTAAGTAATCTCTACACCCAACATGGGGCTCGAACCCACAACCCTGAGATCCAGAGTCACATGCCTCACTGACAGCCAGCCAGGCGTTCCTCCAGCTTAGTTTTTTAAAAATCCCTTTCTTGGGGCACCTGGGTGGTACAGTTGGTTAGATGTCCAACTCTTGGTTTCGGCTCAGGTCATGATCTCAGGGTGTTGAGATCGAGCCATGTGTCAGGCTCCATGCTTAGCGCAGGGTCTGCTTGGGACTCTCTCTCCCTCTCCCTCTGCCCCTCCCCCTTGCTCTCTTAAATAAATAAAATGAAAATCTTTGAAAAAAATGAAAATAAAAAAATAAAGATCCCTTTCTTCATGGTCCCCTCTTCTGACTGCTTTCCAAACTGCCCTCCCTTGCCTCCCTGAGTCTGAGCCTGAGGAAGGCTGAAGGGGCAGCTTGGTGGGGCATGAGGGGCTCATCTGCTCTCGCTCCCTGAAGGTGCAGCCAAACTGGGGCCACCTGTGACTCGTTCAGCCAGCGCGGGCGATGCCCACAGAGAAACAGGGGCCTCAGACTGCTTTCGGCCTCTCATCAGCCCCAGACTCAGTGTGGCTTTCTTGAGCAGTAGGAAGAAAGCTGATCAGGAGCAGTAACACTGACAGGCTTATTTTAGGTTCTGCCCCCTGTCCCCAGCAGGTAAACCCTTTTGTCTTCACCCTTGGCACTGTGGTCTTTGAGCTCTTTGAGTCCAGTTTTCCTCAGTTCTAGGAATTTGGGACCCACCAGTCAACAGGGGTGACACTTGTCTTTCTGAAGCTAACCGTGTGGTCTTTGAGAAAGTTTGCTGCAAAGGGTTGTCTCCGCAGGGGAGATAGGAACTTGTTTTGGGCTCATAGTGTTGGAGGATTGGAGGTGGGAGGGGACTCCTTTTGCAGAAGGGGTTTTTGCCCCTTGCTTTTGTACTCACTCTGTCTCCTCTTCCCTGGCACAGAGAGAAGGGGCTCAGGATTCAGTGGGTAGATGACACGCACGCGCTCGGTGTCTTTCCCTGCCTGGCGTCAGGTAATGCAGCTTCACGGTGGGCTTGGCCCTTTCTCTGACTGCCGCTGACAAGGGAAGGTCACCCATGTGCGGGGTGCGGGCTCACCTGAGCAGGTGGACTGGCAGCCCGCGGCCCAGCCCGCCTGGTCCGGAAGTTCAGAGGCGGCAGAGTGGGGCGCTCGGGCCAGGCAGCTCACACCCTCTCCTGTTCATGGTAGTGCCTTCAGGTCAGAGTTTTCTGAGTCCGGTGATGTTTACTGAGCACATGTCATGGGCTGAGCTCTGGGTGCTTCTGCATGTGAAACGAAATCATATGAATGTGCTCTTTTTATGGGTAAAAAAACCTTTAAAATACTGGCGATTTCATATGGTTCAAACAGATGCATTTTATTCGGCTTTCACTGCAGCCTCAAGAAGTAGGTCAGACCTACTCTGAGACCGAGGTTTCCAGAATGTCAGCAGTCTGTCCCAGGTTACAGAGCGTCTTAGTGTCGAATCTGGGGATGTCGGCCAGCCCCCTGGCTGTGACTGCAGTGCTCCTTCCCCCTCTCGGCCACTCCCCAAGCCGCCCCTGCCCCACCGTGGCTCACTTTGGGTGTATTTATCAAGACCCCCGACCCCCTTGGCTGGACTTTCCATAACCACAAGCTTCTGAACACCAGAGCTGGAAGAGGCCATAGCTGGTGCGGGCCGAGTTCTCAGGGAGCCTGTGGCATTGAGGGAGCAGGAAGCTGGGGCGTGGGGGCTGCTGCAGGCCCCCTGAAGGAGCTGACTGAGGGCAGGCAGGGAGGATGACCACGGGGTGCCGTGGAGAGAATGAGCCCTGGGTGTGGCATGGCCGTGGCTACCTCCTGAGCTCTGCCACGCTGTGTGTGAGGAGCGGGTCCTGTTGGGCCTCAGCATCCTCGTGGACGAAGGGGCGGCTTGCACCTGCAGCTCCGACCTGCTGTGTCCGGCAGCACGTACCTAGCCCAAGTACCCGTGGCCCCAGCACAGCTCCGGGCAGTGAGGGCATGCCCCGGGAGGGTCTTGAGTGGGGAAGGGGGAGAGTTTAGTCGAAGCTCCTGGGCTTTGGAAGGTGGGAGCCTGCCTTCCCTGATGTCCACGGTTGCAGCCTCGCTGGTGTGGCTCCTGACCGGCCCAGGGTAGAGCATGGAAGCTTCCCATCTGAGAGCACGGGTGCGGCGTGCAGGCCTGCGGGGCTCTGGGGGCATGAGACGAATAGGTGGTGGTCGTCTCTTGCCCATTCGGAGTGGTGTCAGGGCAGCCATGTCCCCGAGCTTCAGATGGGTGCACAGAGCAGCTCTGTCAGTTTGGGGTGATACATGCGTTCCTTGGCCCTGACGGGGCCTCACCAGGAGGAACAGGGATGGCTCCAGATCTGTTTTCTTTCCATAGCTGCTGAAGCCCTGACCAAGGATTTTTCTGTGCTCAAGATCCGGCCCCTCATGCAGGGAACCAAGCAGTCAAAGCTGAAAGCCTTGCAGAGGCCAAGTAAGGAGGCCGGCTATGTCCTGATGGGAAGGCTGTGTGAGCATATGAGTGGTTGGGCAGGGTGGGGCCTTCCCTCGAATTCATTGCTTGTTCTTCAGCTCTGCGCCTTAGGACCGCCGGGCTTCCGTGGCCAAAGGGGTGCTCCTCCCGCACCCCAGGGGCCCAGGGATGCCTAGGGAAGAAGGGCTCCATTAGGGAGAGCTGTTCGCCAGCCGCTGTGCTCTGGGCTTGCCCTCCTGTGCTTACCTCTTCTGGGTGATGCTCAGGGAAAAGCTCAGTCTTTCCTGTAGGGCCATAGAAACCATATTTTACAGTGGGGTAAAAAGAGCTTGGATTTTGGGGTCAGCCCTGGGTGTGATCCGGCTTCTGGCACCTATTTAAGTTGACTTTGAGCAAGTCACCTAACATCTGTGAGCTGGTTCTTCTCTCTGTAGAATAAGCAGATTGTACCGGGTAGACTGGAGGGGTGAAGAAAACAGCCTGGCCCACAGAAGGTGCCCAATAAATGATAGCTCCTTTTTCCTCTTGTTCTTCCCGAAAGCGGGATTGGGGGTGTTATAGGCCAGTTTTCTGTGGCTGCACAGTGGCTGGCGAGACTGGCTCAGAAGAGGCCTGCTGAGGCCATCCAGTGCCCTTGTGGCCCTTGTGGCCCTTGTGGCCCTTGTGGCCTTTGCCTCAGACTTGAGGACAGTAAATTTCCTGTCAGTCCAAGAGCTCTGGGTGTCCCATCTTGACTTGATTTCCCTCCCAGGTGGCCCAAACAGGGAAGAGGGAGAGGTGGCAGGATTAGGCGAGGACTCCACGGGCATCTGGCCAGGCTGTGGGCACAGCTGGGTCTTAGAGGTTGGCTCTCCGCTGGGAAGAGTGGTGGCCATAGCTTTGAATTCAAGTCCTCATCCCATGGGGCTTTCCTTTTAGAGCTCCTGCGTCTGGCGAAGGCGAGACCACAGACAAATACAGCGGTGGCCAGGAGGCTGGTGGCCCGGGCCCTGGGGCTCCAACATAAGAAGAAAGAGCGGCCTGCAGTTGAGTGTCTACCTCCCTGAGGCCCTGAGAGGCCCAGCAAGCCTGGATTGGCGCCCACAGGACTAGGCTGGTGCCTCAACACCACAAGCCTTTACGGACACCAGAATAGCCCTGTGCGGTTTGCTAGGGTGTCCCTATGGGGCGTGGTGGGCTTTCGTTTGGTTTAGTTGCAGGAGTTGAACTCGAAAAAATAAAAACTTGGAAGTTGCTTCAAAATGAAATGGTCTGCCAGGGAACACTAGGGGGTGCTGTTTGTCTCCCATTTTAGACCTGGGGCTGCTGAAGAAATGGGTCCTCCAGGTTGGCCTGGAGGATCCCAGCAGGGCCTCAAAGGCATTTTTGCCCAGGGTTTACCCAGTTTTGGGGTGGGGGGAGCAGGTTGCACCTGTGGTGTGTGACACCTGCCTGGTCTCCTGACACGTCAGGCATCCTAACCTGCTGTCACGTGCTGCAGGGCACCAACCGCTGGACCTGGTCCCAGTGTTACCTGCTGCTATGGGTCACAGAAGGCCTTTTGTGCACTTCGGTAACCATGAACAAAGCCAAGAGGCAACCCCTGAGACAGCTGCTGAATTTGACTCCCTCACAGGGACAAGGGCATCTTCGGAGACAAGGTCTCGGGTCACTCGTGTTTCTGGTTTGGGTGAAATCGGTGCCCAGGCGGCCCTACTTGGTGCTCTGGGGTCATGGTGGACCCTTCCGGTTTGCTGGGCCGCAGCATGCTCTTGAGACAAGGGGAGCCCCCATGCCCGGGTGAGAGCGGCCCGCCCTGGCCGCCGACCCTGCCCGCGCTGGGAAGAGCTCGCCCTGCTGGTGCTGGTGTGCACGCCTCGCGTCACCGCCCCCCTCAGAGTCCGGCCGGCTGCCGGCCTTGTGGGCGCCTCCCAGGACGGTTGACATCTGGGTGTCCCATCTTGTCCTCACGCCGCTGCCGTGCCCCACAGACTCACGAAGAACACGAGTTGAGGAAGGGTCAGGACTTGCGTCTTTGTGACCCTTAGACTGCTGCTGTCGGAAGGCAAGAGTCCGTCTTTGTGGTGGCTACTGCAGGCGCCCCGGGAACCCGTCTCTGCAGCGCGAACCTGGGAGGGTGTGCAAGGCTCCCTCCCCGCCCACCATCCGCGGGAGCTCTGCTGCTCAGGGCTGGGTGCAGGGGCCCAAATGAAACACAGATGCGTATCATAAACCTTTTATTCCAAGTTTCAAGTATGTGTAAGTGTCTGTGATGACACATGGCGCTCGGTGGGTGTCCTCATCACCCAGGACCCTGGTTATAGCACCGTTAAATCAGTTACCCACAGAACTGGAACAACAGAAAGATGAGTCACTTACACGGCTGGGTTGGTTTTTCTTTTGAGCTATACTTTCAGAGGCCCAGATGCCCAATATTAAATGCCACTAAATTACTTCGTGTTTCAAAGTCTGTGAAAATATAGTAATGGTATCTTGTAAGAGGATTTAGGAGGGGGGAGGGAAAGCACCAACTCTGAGCTCACCTAAGTAGAAAACACGTGGCAGCATTATTTGTGTATGTGAATATAACAGAGTAGAGGCAGTCTGTTTCATTGGAAGAGAGGTCTAGATATTCAGGTTGTCTGGAAATGACCTAGGGGGAGGAAAAATGGAATTCAGCCTGACCGCCTTGGGTGGATAGCTCCCACCACCAACCTGGCATTTTATCTGTCGTGAGTTGAGTTGGGTGGTGTCCTACTCAGGGTGGCCCGTGGTTTCGGCGGGACAGACTGCTGCTCACTGTGCTCCTGGGGTCCCAGACAAGATGGCTCTTGGTGCCCAGGACCCTGTTGTCAGGCCCCACCCTGGAGGTCTTCCCAGGTCGTCCCAGGCTCCAGAGGTCAGGCAGCAGCACCCAGCAGATGATGGGCACGCCGTGTCCCCCCGAGCCTTGGACATGGCCGCCGGAGGTCGGGACAGGGCAGGGGCTGGGCTGGACGAGGGGGGAGGGTGGCCATCCGTCAGACTGCAGTTGTCGGGGAAGATGCGCCGTGGCCTGAAGACAGGAGGTGACCTGGTGCTTTACCGTGCGGAGAGCTGGTTATTTATGAGTCCACTGAAGTGTTCAAACTTTTTTTCCGTCTCTTCACTGAAGGAACCACCTGAGGGGTGGGCATGGGGGAGACAGAGTTTGGCAAACCAGATGCTCAGCCTTCTCCCACACTGGAGCTGTCAGCCTCGGGCCCTGGAGCCACCGCCGTCCACCAGGTGGCCTGCTGGGGCCACCTCTGTGTGACGCCCCGAGGGCGGCCACTAAGTGCTGGCCACCCCGAGGGCCACGCATGGGTCAGGTGCTCTGTCAGAGCTGAGCGAAGGCATGGCTAACCCTAGCGAGTTTAGTTTTTGCCAGCAAGGGAGGGGGGGCCATCGCTTTTCCTGCAGGAGAGGAAGCCCTACTTCCCCTTTTGTTCCCCAGTGTGCATAATGCAAGGAAAAGTTTCTTTATTGGTGACCAGGAGCCACAGTTGTTGACTAACTTCTAGTTCTCAAGAGAGGGAAACGATACACAGAACCCACAAATTGCTGACGCCCACGTTTGAGGTCACATGCGTAGCGAGGAGATGGCCTCAGCTCCAGCCCGGCGGGGTGCCGCCCTCCTCCTTGGCCAGAGCTGGCTGCGAAAACCCAGCCTCCATCCAGGCCTTATGTGTCTACAGCTTCCTTCCTGTGTGTGCAAATGGGAGGCTGGCTCCAGTCCCCGCGCTCTACCCAGATTAGGAGGCTGTTCGGATTTCTCGACAAAGCAGGGCAATTCTTGCCTGTCTCCCGGACGGGTGGGCTGCAGGGGGTACCTGGCAGGCCTGGGGGGCTCCCCCTCTCCCCGAGGGCCCAGGGCCTTACCTATGTGGCAGTTGTACATCCAGATGCGGTGGCCGTCGTAGCGGGTCCTGCACTTCATGATGTTGTTGCTGTAGTCAGACTCCGCGACCTCGTAGTTGGGGTTAATGACGACCTGGGAGCGAGAAAGATCGGAGTGGGCTGCTGAGTCCTGCCGGGGCCCGGACCCCGCCGAGACCAGCCCTGCCTCCAGAGCCGGGGCGACCTCATGAGAGGGAGCATGGCCGGTGCTGGGGCAGGACTGGCCCGAGATGAGGGGGCGAGGCCCGGAGGCATGAGAGTGTGCGCCCCTGGCCGTTGGCCTCTGTGTGGTTCACACACATACCCCTTACCACAAGGAGGCCTTCGTGAAGGGGTTACCCTCTCCTGGGGGCCCTCGGAGGCTTGAGGTTAGTAGAGGCAGGAGTTGGGGCCCAGGGAGGCCACAAAAGAGGCTGTTGATAGGAACTGGAAGGGAGCTGGGGAGCAGGACGTGCTGAGATGAGGTGGGGACAAGGACCAGGCTCTCTGCTCCTGGAGGTGTGACGTCACACATGCCCTGCCTCTGAGCCTTTGCCCGCAGGCCCCTCTGCCTGGAAGGCCACTTCCTCCTCACCCGGCTCTCTCCCGCCCCTGGCAGCGTTACTGATGTCTGCACACGGAGCCACGTGGGAACGGAGAGGGTCAGTGAATCCCAGGCCAGGGCTCTCAAACAGCTAAAGCTCCGAGTCTGGCCCAAGGGAAATACTCTTTTCCTTAATCTGAGGCACTGACACACTCCTATTGAGTTAATTAGCGAATTGTATAGTTCAGGCGTCAGGGACACAAATGTGATCAGGGTTTGCCCGGCTGTGAAATGGGAGTACTGTAGAGCCCATCACTGGGGGGCTACCTGCGTTCACAGGGTTTAGGCACGGCCAGGCCTGGCATCAAGCTTTCAATGAGCCACCGTTAAATAGATGGCATTTGTCGGGACCCATGATGATACCCATTCACCCGGCAGAGCGATAGCAAACCTCACGCACAAACCCCCATGCACCGTGTACGTGCACAGAGACATGGATATTCAGGTTTTAAAATAAAGAGCACTTTGGTTGGGCCTCTCCAAGTCTGCGGTTTGGGGTTTGTGGGTGGAAAAGTGCTTGGCTGTCTGATTTCCAGCCTAGGAAGACTTTCAAAGCCTCTCTCTGGTCACTTCTCTGCAGGTGTTGGTTCTTCCCAGGGCCGTCTGCAGGGTGGGGACCATGGGCCAGGCTCTGGGCTGGCTGAATGCCCCCTTGGGCAAGTTTTCAAGGCAGAATGACACATTTCTGGTCACCCACTTTGCCACCCAGCGGGGCCAGCTCGAAAGCAAGCCGGGTGGCTGTGTAGGAACGTGACAGGGCGCCAGGGAGCCTCCGCAGGCCCGAGTGCACCTGTGGTCCCGACGGGGAGGCTGGGGATGCGGCGGCCCTGCTCCCATGGCTGGAACGGGCCACTGTGTCTGCAGGGAGGCAGGAGAACTGTCTCCTCTGCAGACCCTTGCACGAGGCCAACTCTTCTGGGAGACCCAAGTCACAAACATTTGAGAGTGAATGGCTCTTCATGAGATTGCTTTCAGCCTTGACAGCACAGACGGGAGAGGGCACCGGGAGAGGTGTGGGGGAGGGCAGAGCTTGTGTCAAAGGACACGCAGGCGTGGGGTGCCCTAGGGTCTGAGGACCAGATCTGGCTGCACATGTATTTTGATTTGCAAGTGCCAGGTGTTACCTGAGTGCGGATGTCTCGGGAGGTTGGCAGTGCCCCGCACGCGTGCATGCCTCCCACACCTAGGTCACCTGGTTGACCCTGATGTGCCGGCCCCTGGGTGTAGGACTCCTGCACTTCAGACAGCCTGGCCTCCCTGCACGCGTTTTGTGTTTGGACACCAGCAGGAAGGGGGCTGCCTCCCACATCACCGGGGAATAGGGCCCTCCTGCCATCAGCCGGGGCTGGAACCCCCCTCCTACCTGGAACAGGTAGTCTCCAGGGGGTACATCGGTGATGTCGACCCACTGGCAGTCGATGTCGTGGCGATACATGTCCCAGCAGCCCATGGTGATGCCCTGCTCACCGAAGTTGGCACACTCGTAACTCTTCTGGATGTCTGCAGGCAGGGGCACAGAGAAGCCCGGTCACCTTGCACCCTGGCCCCACTGCCTCAAGTGCCTGCCCTCTGCGCTCCCCTTCCGCCACCGCGCCCCGAGAAGCCCCACCGGGGGGTGCTGTCCCCAGAGCCCACGGTCAGCAAATCTCTTCCTTCCCCCAAGCCCTCAACTCTCTGCTTCATCTGGGCTTGGCGTCCCATCCCCACCGCATGGGTTTCCGATCTGTTCTCATGTCCCCGGAACCCCTTGCCGGATTCTCTACCCACATCCCACCCGTCCTTTTAGGGCCAGCCGAGTGCCCCTCTTCCACAAAGCCCTCCTTGCCACTCTGGCATTCCCGCTAGCTTGGGAATGAAGGGAGTGTGATTTGGGAAAGCTCTGGTGGTTAATATTTAGCTTAATGTGGGGGATCATCTTGCCATCCTCTGGCGAGTCAGCACTTGGATGTGGGCTCAGATCTGGTTTGTGTATCTGACCCTTACTGGGTCAGCTGGTCGTCTGGCACAGAGCAGGTGCTCAAAACCCATGGGTCTGTGTGATCTCATGGAGTGGCATGTCCACGACTGACTAGTGAACACACATTTACTGAGGCTGCCACGTGTGGGCACTGCTCGAAGCACGGGGCATATGGGGAAGCAGCACTGTGTCGCCCTGAGCCCCAGGCAGGTCGGGCAGCAGGCGGGCCCACTGGTGATCACCGTGCAGCTGTGGCGGCCTCCAAGACGTGTGAGCAGAGTGCTGCCTCTGTCTGGGGGCGTCGAGAGACCCGGGAACCTCAGAGCGGGTCTTTTGGGCTTGGACTCGGGGGGCATGAGCCTGTGGGACGGGGGCTTGATGCTGGGACACAGGGAGAGAGGCGGAGGGGACGTCGGGCCAGGTTTGGCCCCACCTGGGGGCCATGTGGACCCGCCAGTGCCCCCCGGCATGACTCTGGGGGGTCCAGCACCTCCACAACAGGCCCCGCCCGCAAGCCCAGCCCCGAGTATAGCCACGGAGGGCCCTGAGGAGAGTCAGCCGTGGCCAGCGTGAGAGTCCGGCATCAGGCCTGGGCTCCAGGACAGGTGGGAGCATGGGAGTCCCTCTGAAGCCACCCACCCAAAGATACCTCCTTCACATTCTGTGTCCTCCAAGCAGAAGCTGGCTTTGTGGCCCTCGGCCACCTTGGTACCATTGAGGTTCAAGAGGTCATAGTGGGTGAACACTTCCATGCTGTGGTAGTGCCTGGAGCGAGCGAGAGAGACAGAGAGAGAGGGCCCAGAGGTCAGTGACCGGAGCCATGCCGCCGACCAGCAGCTGCCTCGAGCGGGGGGTCCAAAGGGGTGGCCCGTGCAAGACGAGTGGGTGACGGCCTGAGGAATGGGAGGGCAGAAGCAGAAGCCGTAACCGTGCTGCCCCCCGCCAGAGGCCCTCGCCCGTGCAGGCCTCGGCCCTCCCAGCAGCTGAGCGGGAACGAGCCTGCACGGAGCGCCCTGGGCCTTGTGGGGGTTAGCGAGGTGCGCTGGGGGGCAGAGGGCCCGCCAGGCCGTGCGCGCCATCCATGAAGAGCTCCTTAGTGCTTTTTCTAACCCCCTGGGCGCTGGGGTGGCCCTCCCAGCCCATCCCTATTTGGTACACTTCCTGCAGACTGATGAAAGTGACTTTCTGAGATCTCCGGAAACTTTCTGAAGTGGGGATGTGGCAGGGACGGCACGTCGAGGAGGGGCAAGGCGGCAAGAGCGGGCACGGGAGAGGCAAGGGGTATCCGGGCAAGACCCTCCCACAGCCCGGACTCGAGGCAGGGAGGCCCCGGGCCATGGCACCAGCTGGGAAGCGGGCGGCAGGAGTCTGTGCCCCTCGCCTGGGATGCGACAAAAGGGGCAAAGGGGGCTCTCAGTCCCTTGGGAAGGAGCAGAGCGTGGCAGGCGCATCCCTGTGGGCTCGGGGTGACAGCAGAGAAGGGCGCGCTCTTGTGTAGCAGTGTCCCATCTCTTGCTGCTGAGGAATTGAGAACAGATGCAGGTTCTTGGAAAGCGGTGCTGTGTTTGGTTCAGAATAAACCAGGGGAAGATGGCTGCCATGTGGGCCGGGGCCTCCCTGAGGCACCGGGCGGGCCAGGCCCAGCCGGAGCCGCAACGTGGGAATCACCGGCGCGTGCGACTGTTTGAACACGCTTGTCTCCGGCATCACAGGGACATGCGGCAAGTGGAGAACAGAAATACAGGGCACCCAAGGCTCGGGGAGCAAAACTAGCTGAGCTTCTTTCTCAGGAAAGAGGGGATGGTCACAGGACCCACTCTTAGGGGTCCCAGAAGGACGGAATCAGAGAAACCACAGAAAGAGCTCCCAGGGGGCTTGGAACAGAGGGGTACTCAGCACCTGCCAACTCTCTCGTTGTTACTCCTGCTAACGGTAGTACCACGGGTAGTATTTTCATAAGCACCGCCATCGCTACTCTGCTGCTACCATTCCCAGCCTTCCTCCATCCCCAGGCCTCCCGGGGCCGGCCTCAGGCTCCCTCCAACGGAGTAGGGGCAGTCAGGACAGCGGCAAGGGGGGGATTAAAACGATAGGTTTTCGGAGAGGAAATCAGAGGCTCTTTCCCCCTTCCTCCTATGTTGGCTTGCGCTAAAAATAATGTCAGGAGTTCCTAACGGGCTTTTCCCGGGTTGCTCATGTCTCTGGGTAAAGCGATGCTGAGCCAGGGGCCCCCTGAGAACACGCACAAGGATACATTTTGTGGCAAGTCAAAGTGATGACTTTGAACGCGTCTATTTTGGCTTCTCGAAGGAGCAGGATGAGACATGAGGTCTGACTCACTGCGTAAAACATGTCTGCATCTTTCAGAGAGGGGTTTATGTTACCATGTTTACCGGCTGGAAAGACTGAAGAGAAATGGGTTTATACTCCGTTGTCTAAACAAAATTCAGACAGAGTCCACAGAGGGACTGTTGTAAGGCTGACCTTCTCCTGCTCCTCCTGCTTCCTGCAGACTTGATTTAAGAGTCTTCCCTAGCTCTTCAGTTTTTCCCCCGTGAACACGAGGAGGGAAAGAGCTGGTTTGGAGCCTCTTGATTCCAGCTGGCTGCAGTCCTGGAGCTCCCGTGTTTTACCTCTGGGACAGGTGTGGACATCACCCCCGGGGCCACGTCCCCCTCCCCGCTGGCTGGCTGTAGAGGCCGAGGCACCCCTGCGCCCCGTGCCCCCAGGAAATACAGATGGGGCCCCCAGGAATGCAGGAAGGCACATACTGGTGATGAGGGTATCCTTCCTCTTTCCACACTGAGGTGTCCCGACCTTTGGAAGTCTAAGAGGGGGCTGGGTCCATGGGGTAGGACCTAGGGAGATTACAACTTGGAAAGAAATGCCAGAACCTAAGGAGAGAGAGAATAACCTGACACTTGGTGTAAGTCATTGTAATCTGGAGAAAAGGAAGGACGGCCTTCTACCACAAGACTCTGGAGCTCAGTATTCTAAGACATGGTGTCAGTGGAAGGAGGAGATGAGGAACACGTGGAAAACAGACCAAGTGAGTCCAGAGGAGGACGGCAGGGTTGGGTATACCCTTTGTTATCCCAGCTCACTTGGGGCCCACATAACACTGAATCAGAGAGTCAGTGCACACTGTAGATGCTGCCACCTTTCATCCTCCGGTGCCTCCAGAATGGACGTCCTGGCTGATGCTCAGCTGCACTGGGGACAGTGCTCCTGTTCCCATTGCCGAGAATACGGGGGCTGTGTTCCAGGCTCAGGAGGTGCTGTCACGAAGGGCGAGGGTCTTCTGCTCGCTCCACCCCACCTTCCCCACGTGCTGGGAGCCCTCCGGCCAGAACAAAGCCCTACGGATGTGACGAGGGCCTAAAATTGGCTCCCAGAGGCCACATCGCATCTGTGGGGCTTTGATCCAACACGGAGCCTGCTCTGCACATGGTGGGAGCCGGGCAGAGTAAACGGAAGTCTCCCCTTTGTAGCAGGGCTGTCCCCAGCTCCCTAGGGGGGCACCTGTGCTGGGCACCTGCTTGCCGGCTCCCAGCGCCTCTCGTGGGGCTGCCTGCGCTGCGAGGGCTCGTCTCCAGACCACAGCAGGGACAGAGCTGCTCTGTGCCCAGCTCCGTCTAGACCCTGTCGGACCTGTGACATGACATGCCAGTTAAACAGGTGTGGCCCCGCTCCCTGGGCCACAGGTAGGGTCATCGACCAAGGGCGTGATGCATATGGGAGAGGACAACTCGGCATTTTCCTCTATGTCTGGTTGGCAAGGAAGGTGCTAAGGGGTTCAGTCTTTAGGTTTCATGTGAAGGCTTTCAAAGAACACAGTTCTGTTCCTCATCTTGGCATTAATTGCTTTGGGAATGATAATTATCCCCATGCACACTCATTTGAGCCAGGGTTCTCAACTTTGGCTCCACAGTCAGTAAATCTGCTGAAAGAGGATGGTTAATCTTCTAGAAATAATTTTTTTTTTTTTTGGAGTGGGAGAAGGGCTTGCTTTCATCAGACTCCCAAAGGGGCCCAACCGAGGTTTGGGGCCAGAAGTCCGATTGAAAGGTCCTCCTACAGAGCTTGGAGATGTCCCCTGGAGCTCTGGAGGCTGCGGGCAGGGGGTAGGGGGACCCTCTTATGCTCCCTGAGATCTCATGGTCATAGGTTCTCAGTTATGGACAAGGAAGAGGTGGCTTGAAGGAACATATGCTTGGCCAGCATGTTTTTTCCATCCATTCCTCCCAAACCACCGACTAGAACATCTGTAAGCAAAGAAATGAAACAGGACGACAGGAAAAGCAGGGGGTGGGGTGGGGAAGAGATCAGAATGTCCAGGGTTTCAGATCAGAAGAAACACTTCCATGGTGTTGCCATGTGTACTCTTAGAGGACAGACCACTGCTTGGAGAGCTAGCAGATGTCCCACGGAGACTCCCACCATGTAATGTCTGGGTGGACAGCCACGTGTGGGACAGAGATGCAATTATGTCCAACTTATAGTGGGCAGCACCAGCCCCCACAGCCCCAGGGCTCCCACCCATCTGTTCTCTAAGGAAATCCGGCACCAGTCTGGTCACAACTTTAATTTTACTCTCCGACATCCACCCTGCAGAAGGCTGACATGCTTCTATGTAGAGACCAAAAATTCTTTGGCTAATTAGGACATTCAAAACACATGGATAATAATTATGAAGGAAAATCAACACCGTAAGTTCTATCCTAGTCTTTTCTTTTGAAACAGATTTAACAGTTCTATCACTACACCGATTTGAATGTGACTGGACCATCCATTGTGACACGCAGAAGCAGGCAAGGACAGATTTCTGATGAAGATTCAGCAGAGGTAACAGAAAGAGCACTCGCTTTGGAGTCAGACACGAGCCGGGGATCCCTGCCTGGCAACTTCCTGTTGGACTTTCTCGAAAAGTCATATAAACACCGAGTCTCCCATTCCCTTACCCTTGAAAATGTACCTGGCACTTAGAAGGGGGTCAATAAATGTCAGTTCTTGTGCCCCTCACAGTGGTCACTAGGTTTTCCAGCTGGAAGGATGCCTAGTCCTAGCTGGGCCGGGGCTTCTCAGACTTGAATGTCACACGCACACAATCACCTGGTGATCCTGTCAAAATGCAGATTCTGATGCAAAGGTCTGCAACAGGCTGACTCTGCCAGCCCACGGGCCTCCCTGTGAGAAGCAGGGAGCTCTGTTGCAGAGATGGAGGGCTTCCAGGGGGAGCGCTCACTGTGGACCCCTTGGGGGCTTGCTGCCCTGTTGCATGGCAGGGCCTCCCCCCTTCATTTTCAAAAGTGTGCTCTCTTCTGCTGTTCTCTCTACCTGCCCAAGTCAGGTCCCAGCAGGAAAATGTGAACAAGCTAGGGCAGTGGGCTCTGCATTAGAGTAAGAATCAAGGCAAAGAAAAAGAAAAGACAAGGCAAGGAGATGAATGGGGTGGCTTCTGTTGAGCTAGGGCTGGCTCTAGGATTTCTGTTCTTGTGTAGGATTTATAGCACTGGGGCCAAGTCCACAGGCTGAGGGCTGGCAGGGACTCTGGAGGTTCCAGGTGATGTGGCCCAGATGGCCTGACATCATGCAGCTGGTTAGAGGCACAGCTGGGTTGAGAGACCAGGTCTCATGACTACTGGGCCTAGAACTCTTG